AGTGCCATTGTGCATTGTTGCAACCTTGTCACACATGCTAGCATAATGTTTGCACCTGTGAAATGATGTTGATAAGCTGTCAGAAAGTATCATGATCAGACTTGAAGGAAGAAAGTTTTCTCCAGCTTTTACTTGCTTCTGTTCCCTCCCACATTTGTAGACGTTTCTGTATGTTTTCATGTCGCATCTGGTTTTCTTCGACCTCTGCTTTGTTTTTTTTTTTATCTTTATTGTACTTTTACTGGGTTTTATGTATCTCTACTTTTTGTTTATATCTTATTCCCTCTAAGATAGATTATTCAAAGTATAGTTCAGCTATAAATGGAAATTCTGTTATCATTCACTTACACTTCCAAACTGGGTAGTAACTGATTACGTGTAATCTGGTAATACGATACAAGATTATCCTATTTAAATCAATGTGATAAACGAGTTAGGTTGAAAGTAATCTAAAAGTAATAAAAAAGTAGTCAAATTATATTACCTAAAATGTGTAATGTAATGGATTACGTTACTAATTGCATTTTGTTATGTAATCTGGAATCAGTAACAGACTACAATTTACAGTAATCTACACAGCACTGCATGCACAACATTCTTTTGTTTGTTTGTAGTTTTGTCATCCATTGACATTTGAACATTTCGATGTCTTCTGCAGGATCAGCTTTGATGAAGGTCGTCAGTGGACACGTCACAGTTTCTCAGCCATGCCGCTGTTCGTGGACGGTGTTCTGGTGGAGGCAGGTGTAGAAAATCAGATAATGACGTAAGTCTATAGAGGTTTGTTTTTGACCACCTTCTTTCTCTCACACACGCACACAGCCTGTGCATCCTCATTATGTCTTATTTATTACAGAAGAATAGATTCCTCTGAGCTCTAAAAACCTGTTCGTTCAAGAGATACACTCGTGAGGAAAGGTTAATTAGTCAGACTCTTGAGCTAATGTTGTTAGTCTCAGTGAACCAATAACACTTATCATTATGTCTCAGTGCTGGTATGTAGTTTAATAGGGTTGTATCTTACTTTTTAATTATTACTTTGAACACAAATGAAAAAAAAAAAAAAATCTCTGTAGAAATAGGACTGAAATGAACAGGAAATTATTGTTAAAAATAAACTATAACAGAGGGATCTGCATAAGAATCTGCAGAGCAGTAGGTGCTACACAGATAGAAACAGCACCAGATTTGGTAAAGTCTCACACATTTTTATTTTACATTGTAGTTTTTTTTTCTTCTGGTGTTTATGAATCTATCTGGCTGTCTCAATATCACTTGACTTTATGAAGTGGTTTCATAGTCTTTTTTTATAAATCTTTGTTCTGTTTGTTTGCCGTGTTCACAATGATTAAAAAAAGGGAATTAAATAACTGCCAATAAGAATCACATAAGAAGTTTTTCATTATTGCTTATTTAAAATGATTTGTGTGTGTGTTATCCAGTTTAGTCAAGAAAGTATATTATATCAGACTTCGTTTAGAAAAGAATGAACTACAAAGGGCATCATTCACTCTGAATTCAGATAATGCTACTAACCCCATATTGTACAATTTATAGGATACAGGGCGCAATTTCAGACATAGCTAATGAAGTAACCCAGGAATGCTCAATCCAGCCTCTGGAGATGTACATTTTTGCGAAGATTAATTCCAACGCTTACACGTCTGGACCAGCTAATCTTCACTTGAAAATGAGTGAGCTGTATGAGAATGAAACATGTCTTTGTCAATTGTCAGGTTTTTTGGACACTTCAGTCATCGTTCTGAATGGCAGCTTATCAAAATTGACTACAAGTCCATATTCACCAGAAGGTGCACAGAGGGAGACTACCAAACCTGGCACCTGCATAACCAGGTAAAACGAAAAACAAGCAAAAACACAATTTCTAAATTGCAATATCGGTTGCAACTGACTTAGATATGGTTTTCTTAGGGTGAGCCATGCATAATGGGTCAAAAGCAGATTTACATGAAGCGTCGTCCAGGAAACTACTGCGTGGTTGGATGGGACAACTCCAGGATCCTGTCTGCAGAACCCTGCATTTGCAGAGCACACGACTTTGAATGGTGAGTGAACAGCACACAGCTAAAGATCCACCCACTGATCCGACAGCGTCATCAGTGATTTCCTGCAGGTATATTTTTTTCTCGTGATTCTAGAATAATTGTGTTGAACGGTTTAATTTACTTTAGACTGACTGTGTTATTAATTTGATCTGACT